TTGATTCTTCACCCATTTGTCCCCCAAATTCCCCAAATTTCGATTCAATTTCCCCCATTCCCCCCCCCAAAATTCCCCCAACTTTGATTCAATTTCACCCAATTTTGATTCAATTTCACCTGTTCCCCCCCCAAATTCCCTAAATTTCAATTCAATTTCAGCCATTTCCCCCAAAAAATTCCCCAAATTTTGATTCTTCATCTGTTTCTCCCCAAAATTCCCCAAATTTTGATTCCTCACCTGTGTCACCCCCAAATTCCTCAAATTTCAATTCGATTTCCCCCATCCCCCCCCAAAATTCCCCCAACTTTGATTCAATTTCACTCCATTTTGATTCTATTTCACCCGTTTCTCCCAAAATTCTCAAATTTCGTTCCGATTTCCTCAATTTTCCCCCAAATTTCCCAAAATTGATTCAATTTCCCCCATTTTCCCCCCGATTCTTTCCCCGTGGACCTACCGTTGACCTTCTGGAGCTGGGCCTCGGCGGGGAAGAGGAGCTGGGGGTGGGCCACCTTGCAGGTGTAGAGGTGGCCCTTGGCCCAGTCGTCGGCGCAGACGGTGGCCACCCCCTCCACCCCGAAGAGCCCGTTGGGCTGTAAGATTTGGGGGGAAATTTTGGTTTCCAGTTTTTCTCCCATTTCTTTCCACCAGGTGATCACCAAACCTTCCACGCTGGGCAAGTTGGCTACTTTGCAGGTCAGTTTGGCTACCTTGTCGTTGAAGATGTCCACGAAGGCCGGGGGGACCACCTGCACGGAGATGTCCTCGTCCCCCTCCGGCCGGCCGTCTGGAATAAAGAAGGGGGGGGCAAGTGTGTTTTTGGGGGTGGTGGCCACCCATAACCACGTCCCCACCAGCCAAGGGTTGGTGGCAACCATGGTTTTGGGGTGGTAGCCACCCATAACTACGTCCCCACCAGCCAAGGGTTGGTGGCAACCATGGTTTGAGGGTGGTAGCTACTCATAACTACGTCCCCATCACCAATAATCATGTCCCCACCAGCCAAGGGTTGGTGGCAACCATGCTTTGAGGGTGGTAGCCACCCATAACTACGTCCTCACCACCTCTCACCAGCCACGAGTGGGGGTAACCATGGTTTTGGGGTGGTAGCCACCCATAACCACGTCCCCACCAGCCAAGGGTTGGTGGCAACCATGGTTTTGGGGTGGTAGCCACCCATAACTATGTCCCCACCACCCATAACCATGTCCCCACCAGCCGAGGGTTGGTGGCAACCATGCTTTGAGGGTGGTAGCCACCCATAACTACATCCCCACCACCCGTGGCTTGGTGGCCACCACGTCCTTGGGGGGTGCTAGCCCCCCCAGAACCACGTCCCCATGGTTCTGGAGGCTGGTGGCCCCCCAGAACCACGTCCCCATGGTTCCTGAGGCTGGTGGCCCCCCAGAACCACGTCCCCATCACCCATGGCTCGGTGGCCACCATGTCCTTGGGTTGGTAGGCCCCCATAACCACGTCCCCACCACCCAGAACCACGTCCCCATGGTTCCTGAGGCTGGTGGCCCCCCATAACCACGTCCCCACCACCCAGAACCACATCCCCATGGTTCTGGAGGCTGGTGGCCCCCCATAACCACGTCCCCATGGTTCCTGAGGCTGGTGGCCCTCCAGAACCACATCCCCACCACCCAGAACCACATCCCCATGGTTCTTGAGGCTGGTGGCCCCCCAGAACCACGTCCCCACCACCTGTAGCTCGGTGGCCACCACATTCTTGGGTTGGTGGCCCCTCATAACCACGTCCCCACCACCCAGAACCACGTCCCCATGGTTCCTGAGGCTGGTGGCTCCCCAGAACCACGTCCCCACCACCCAGAACCACGTCCCCATGGTTCCTGAGGCTGGTGGCCCCCCAAAACCACGTCCCCACCACCCAGAACCACGTCCCCACCACCCGTAGCTGGTTGGCCACCGTGTCCCCGGGGGCGGTAGCCACCCCCAACCCCCCTCCCAGTAGCACTTACAGCCGCACTCCAGGGCTTTACTGGTGTTCCTCATCTCCTCCTCCGCCTGGCAGGTGTAGATGGTCCCCGCGTCCCACTCCTCCTCGGTGACGGTGGCCCGGCTGCTGGTGAGGTAGCCCCCGTGGCCGTCGGCCAACGGCCCGCGGGTGGTGACCCCTTGGGTGAGGAGGACCCCGTTCTTCAACCAGCGGAAGGAGGTCGGGGACAAGGCCCGAGGTCCCCGGTACTGGCAGAGGAGGGTGGAGTTGCGGTGGGGACCTTCGAAGTCCTCCCGGGACGGGGGGTGGATGGTGACCTCGGGGACAACGGCGGGGGCGGAGCCTATGGGGGAGGAGGAAAGAGGTTACTGGGAGGGACTGGGAGGGAGTGGGAGGGGACAGGGGGGCACTGGGAGGCACTGGGAGGGACTGGGAGAGAGACTGGGGGCACTGGGAGGCACTGGGAGCCACTGGGAGCAACTGGGAGGGACTGGGAGGGAGTGGGAGGAAATTGGGAAGGGATTTGGGGGCACTGGGAGGGACTGGGAGG